AACTTGTCTTATTAAATGTTCAAAGACCAAGAGAGGCCAATGTAAAAAATTCCAACAAGGACTTAAAATAGTAGAGAAGCACTGATAGTTTCTTAATATACTGTATGGTGATAGTGATAAATGGGGAACAGATAAGAACCTAATTTATGAACTTTAATGAATGCTAGACTAATTATTTTGTTGATCCTGATCACCCTATTTTTTTCTTGCTTTTGGGCAACAAAGCTTCACCTTTCAGTTCATTTTATACTCTATGGATCCTCTAAATTGTTGTATTATACTCAGGTGACCGTTAAGGCCCTTGGGCCTTTTGTTTATTGTGTGACCAACAAAAAATAACCTTTAAAATTTTATGTATAAATGTCTTTTTATAGAAATCCAGCCTGAGGGTATAATTTGACGAAAGCTGAAGCATTTGATCCAGGATTATTTTTCATGCAAAACCCAAAATAGATTTTTACCATAAAAAAATCGGATCAAGCGACTTAAAATTGATTAAAATATGTATACATGTATTAAAAATAAACAGTTTACATGGCATATGGCAAATATTTTGTTCCGTACAGCGTACTTGACCTAGAAGGTTATTTTGGAATTTGAGCGATAATATAATTTCAAGTGAGTTTAGCTACCATCATATGAGAAAATAATGCATGTAGATCATATCTGTTTTGATAAATTAAACGAGGGCAGATAAACTTAATGTTTCGTCGAAGTACCTTCAACGACTGTATTACGTAGAATTAAGATTTGAGACCTTAAAGAACATTTGCATCCTTTAATTACTGTAGCTTAATGGCAGTAAGCATGAAATTTCGTGGTAAGTATTTTCAGTACTTTTTTTTTACCTTTAATGTGACAGTGTTCGTACTTCAAAATATATTTCTACGTTGGTAATATTAGCTAAATTATTGCTGTAATATAATAAAATAATGATTTTCTCCTAGAAAATTGTCTATTTTCTTAACACAAAAATTATGATACTCTGCATTATACGACCATGATGGTAATAGCATATTTCGTGAATATTTATTTGAAATATCCAGACTTGGACACCTGAAGCTGCTTCAACATACGGATAAGTACCTCAGCTAAGAATTAGAATCAAGAGAGTCATTTGAAAAGTTCTGTATATTGTTATTTATGCGTATCGTTTTACAAAGTTGATTGATATTAGTGAAAACACAGGAAAATCTACGTTTATTGTGACGTCGCAGTGGAATTTTCGTGACGTCTCAACCCCTTAAATGACACCAGAATTCAACGTGTTCAGTATACTGATTGTGAATATGAACGTAATACTTTGGAAATTTTCGCAACTTGTTATTGTTCATCAAAAATATTACTTTGTTAAAAATTACTCTGATTCTACACGTAAGTACTCTGAAGTTGATATTAAAAGGATGCTGGAGTTCCTCACTGACAACATCTATGTAGTCTCCGGAGACCAGGTCTTCCAAAAATGTGTTGGTATATCGATGGGCACTAATTGTGCTCCTTTTTATATTCATATAAAGCAGAATTTATTTAAAAACTTCTACATGAGAAGAAAATAAAACACTTGCTGTGGTGTTCAACTAGACAATCTAATATATCGACGAAGTTTTATCAATTAACAATAGTTACTTCCAGTCACAATTATGTCGACTCGAAATATCCTAATAAACTTGAAATAAAAGACACCACAAAGTCTGCCACAACTGTTTCATGTTTGGATGATTTACAGACTAAAGACAATGAGAGTTAAGTTACTAAATTGTATGAAAACGAAATTACTCCAGCTTTTCCATCGTCAACTTTCCCTATTTATGTAGTAATATTCTACTATCACCTACATATGGTGTTTACGTCTTTCAACTTATTCGATACTCAAGATCATGCTCTGAATACGATTAATGTTTAACCAAGGCAGGCTACTGACAGATAAATTGATGTTACAGGGATTTCAACAACCTCGTATAAAGTCAGCATTTTGTTAAATTTATGGTCGTTATAATGGCCTTGTTAGCAAATATAACACTTCATTGGGTCGTATTTTGACTGACGTTTTTCATACCATTTGTTAGGTTAGGCCTTTGTTTTTATACTGAATTTGACTGTGGAATGTTCCGTCTACCTGACCAATACCCAGGGCTCATGGCGGGTGCGACCAGACAACAGGGGATGCTTACTCCTACGAGGCATCTGATCCCACCTCTGGAATTTCCATGGGTCTATGTTTTATGCCCTGTTCGTAGTTTTGTTTTGTTCGTCCATTTCTTTTATATATATATATCGGGTTACTCTTCGTTACCTTCACCTTTTGCATTACTGAAGAAAAGACTGAAAGTCAACATTTCAGCATAACTTGCACGCACTCTACCAAACATTATTACCAGTGTGAAGAATGTTTAATTGGACTTATGTCTGTCATTTGCATCAATGACTCAGTTCTCAAATATAAAGAATGCGGTCTAAAAGTCTCGAAAATGGCCTGTTTATGTCGACATCCAATTTTCTTTTGTTTGTTTTGACTACTTGTAAAGATTGAAACGTACGAAAATTAGATCACCAGAAAATTATTTTCCTTGCTTTGAAGAACATTACAATTGAAATAATTGAAAGTTCTCACATCATGCGTTTTTTACCAATTACGAAGAGAGAAAGTGCATAGTCCAGAGACTATAGCATTCTTCAACTCTGTATACCGTTTTCCAAGGGAGACGGTATTAAGCAAACTTGTATACATGTATTAGATCAAAAGACATATCTATTTTACAGGATATCCAACGGGATAAACTTTAAAATATATTGCATATTTTATAAATTACAAGACAATGATAACACCTCTGACTTTAGTGGACTGCTGAGTTAGGCATTTGTAGACGGAATTTGAATTTGTACAACCTCTATTTTGTCTTTTATTTGGCGTGTAAGAATGTCAATTCCACTTTAAATGAAATAAGATGGAGTTTTGTCGCAACTTTCATATTTTTTTAACACTAGACACTTAGGTTTGTGGAATGATGCGATAAAATTAATACTATGAAGGCTGTGTTTACAATATGACAGAGTTTTACTAATAACCAACCCATAACTTGTACGATAAGATTGTGAAAAATCAAATTGTGACTCGTTGTTTACATTAGGGAGATAGATTACCTGGAAAATATTTAAATCGTGTGATATTTTCGAAGAATTCGAATATGCAAGATATCTTAAATGAAAATATTTAGTTTTATTATGTTGAAGTTACAATGACGTGTACCAATTAATTGAAAGTGCTTACAAGAAAACATTTTTTAAAGATGCCCACTACAGCCACAGACAGTTGTTTTATCACTCCCGTGAAGAGATTATGTTTTGTGATGACTGATGACTGAGGTCGATCACAGTTTATTCCATTTGAGACAAATCTGGGCACAAAATACAAGATGAACTACATTTTTTCTTATATATATATATATATATATATATATATATATATATATATATATATATATATATATATATATATATATATATATATATATATATATATATATATAAGAAGTACAAGCGTGGACTTCAACTTGAAATATGGTGGAAAACAACACTAGACCCTTCTGTGATATAGAATATTACTAATATTTACTTTTCAATTCATTTGTTGTCAAATTGAAGTTAAAGGAACAAACAGGTTGCTTGAGCAGTATTTTCTTCTCTTCATACAAGACCTCTTTTGGAATGGATATATTGTAAAGGGGAAAAAAGCAATTGGGTGAAGTCATCCAAGACTGATTTGTAGTCATGAAATTAATTTGTCTAAATCAAAACATTTACCTATATGCCTATATTTAAAAGACTAAAAAAGTTTTAAATAGTATTCCAGTATTTTCCGGGCGACATTTGTGGCAACATTAAGTTTCCTTGCTAATATTTAATTATGCTTCGTTTCCGAATCGAAATAACAACAGAGAAATTTCACTCAATTTCCCTTCATATTGTAGTTGCAGGTGGTGTGAAACTAAAACTAAAGCCTGTTTCTTTTGTAGGTTTCTCTAATTTACAAGAAATTTTTCATTTTACCGCTGTTGGGCTAGTGTGCTTCAGCAATGGAATTGCTGGTGAGTGAGTATTCACTACGTCAGGAACATAAAGATAGTCTTATAAATCTATTTATTTATTCTTTGTTTCTTGTTCTAAGAGATTAAATAATTTTGTGTTAATAGCGTCGATGGATAACTTTCTGTCCTTTTTCCTTTTCTTCTTCCTGAATCTAAGAACTAATTTTAGCATTCAAGTAACTATATTTTTTAAATTACTCCTTATATATATATATATATATATATATATATATATATATATATATATATATATATATATATATATATATATATATATATATATATATATATATATATATATATATGTTACATTGTTTATATCACTTAGTAATAAGGAGTCTTTGAAACTTGAAACATATTTTAGTTAAGCTCCTAATGCATGGATATTTGATAAGTTCAAGGTCACTGGAAAATGAATGATCTTTTGTTTGTGCTAAAGAGAGGATAAGTTGGCTCGTGACTCGGGAGTGGCTTTTTGAAAACTTTCGGGGGGAAATGCGGAATGGCACTAAGGTGAAGTCAAAAATCATGAGGCACTCTATTTTCTTTCTGAGGTTTATGTATTAATTATATTTTAATTTTTTTTATATATTTACAGCTGGAACTTGTGACAGAGAATGCATATTATACGGAACTCTCACTGCACACAGCATATGTGGAGCTTTTATTTTTGTTTTCATGGCACTCACTGTTTGCAGACGCATCTTCTTCCCGGGAGAACCAGACAACATTTTTGACAAACGTTGCGATCAAATAAAACAAGTGATGCTAGTTCTCTATTCGGGTTTTACCCTTGGATGTAAGTAAAAAGGAGGAATATGTAGTTTTTTTTAAAGAAGAGAAATCGCTATCAACTATTATGTTTGCTATTCAATACATACTACCTCATTTTTTTCAGTCATCTTCTTTCTTATTATGGCTGATAAAACAGGATTTGGGACAACTCCTTGTCGGAAGTACTCATTAGCAATGTTAATAATTAGCGCTCTTTTCATATTCGGGAATTTTATTTACTCGATATTCTTATGTATAAGACACTACACAACAAATAATCCAAATACAAAATCAGATCAACCATCAGGTCAACACTTGAACTGGGCAAATCAAGGTGTATCAGTAACTGTGGTGCAACAGGGAATAGCTGGAACACCACTGCATCAGGGAATATCTGTACCACCACCCCAAGAGGGAACATTTGGACCATGGCCCCAATACGGAATAGCTGGACCACCAGTCCATCAGGGAATAGCTGGACCACCGCCCCAATACGGAATAGCTGGACCACCACTCCAACAGGGAATACCTGGACCACCGCCCCAGTACGGAATAGCTGGACGACCACTCCAACAGGGAATAGCTGGACCACCACCCCAACAAGGAATAACTGGACCACCACCCCAACACGGAATTGCTGGACCACCACTCCAACAGGAAATAGCTGAACCACCGCCCCAACAGGAAATAGCTGGACCATCGCCCCAACAGGGAACAGCTGGACCATCACCTCACCAGGGAATGGCTGGTCCATCACTACAACAGGGAATAGCTGAACCACAACCTCTTCCCCAGCAATCAAAAAGTGCAGAAGTTCCAATGTCTGGCACTCCAAGAATTCCAGCAGATCCTTAAGCTACAACCCACTTCCCTAGATAATTGTTTTAAAAAGCTGATATATTAATTAAGATGTGTTTTCCCCTGTTAAATTTAGGCTGTTTGTGTTTTGCATACATATTCCACTTATCTCGTGCAGATGCAATTTTCAAGTGAAGTTTTCCTAATACTGATAAAAAGTATTAAAAACCCGCATACTTAATTTTTATTGGAAAATGGCATTTTAACAACAATAAAAATCCATATAAACCATGTGCCACACTGATACAGAGAGGATCTCTATACATTTTTATGTGTCAAAGAATTGCTAGTAAGTATAAAAATTTAGCTAAAAAGTGGTAGAAATATATCCTTCCAAGGCAGTACTCATCGTATAACGGTATTTTTTTTTCTCCCGAGGAATTCCATTTTTCTCTAAAAGGATTTAGTAAACAACCACATGGTTACTTTAACCTCGAAGCAGGATATCAAAATTTCTGAAGACATTTCTTTAAGAAACGTTATTATCACAGAGATAGATATGCAGATGGAATAAAGATGATTCATGCTTTCTCCTTGCCTATGTTTTTGTCTTTTGAGATATCCTCCACTTTATCTATTGTAGTGTCGTTGTAACGGTTATTGTGGTTGTTAGAAACAGCAGCTACCACTGCTAGAGCCTGTGTAGATAACGAAGACGAGTATATTACTTCAGTACACATTATTAATACATTTAGTTTACCAACATTTGTATGATAAGGAGAAAGAGTTATTGATGTACTTTACAAATCAAAAGCACTAGAACACATTACTGGTTTCTGAAAAGTAACCTGACATCTAAATCCGATCTATATCTATTTTTAATTTTATTTTCTTTGAAAGGGACACTGTGACGCAAAAATAAAATAGAATTCTCGCATGACCCATGAAAATTTTGTTCTTTTCTTGAAAGCATTAGGGTTAATAAAAAAACAGATTTCAGAACGTACGAACCTACTTTTTATGAACAAAAATATAATTGTTGTATGATCAAAAAAAAAAAAATTGCCTCCCTCCTTCCTCCGAAGCAGGCGTGTGCAGAAAAATTATCATGGTCTCAGGGATTTCGATACAATCTTCGAATGTTATTTACGAGTTTTACCATATGAAAAGAGTCATGTAACCTTGACATGGACGATAACAATGCGATAGCTACAACCTTTTTTCCAACACTTATACTCTTTGTTTGCTTTGCAGTGCAGTTGAGCTTGTCAAAACTTCGTTAAACTCACATATTTGATAAATCTTTTGATTTATGATACAATTAACTGAAATTGAAGAAATTCATGATTTTGACTCCTTATGTCTCTTTAAATTTCATCTCATTAATAGCACTATTATGGTTATTCATACATAAATATTAAAATTTTGTGTAATTAAAAAACATTTGAGTGTTCATATTTAAAAAAAAGCATCATACAAATTATTATCCTGACATTTTTAGAGTATACAACTTAAGGTCTATTAGTTGGTTTTGCTGTGAGAAAAAAGAAAAAAGATATATTTTATAAAATCTAAAATCTTCTCATTCCTTGCAATAACTTTTTTACCTTAATTACTGAGAATGTATTTCTTCCAAATTTTGTAGACATTTTTACAAGACAAAACTTGACCATACCTCAATCACCATGACAGTAATTCCAACGGCGATGAAAACGATATAGTAGGCACTGAGAGATTTATAAACTGCATCATAACAACCCTGAAAAATACAATAACAGTCTTATTTAATGCTAGAATAAAATATTAGAATTCTCTTGGATAATAAAAAATGGAAAATGAAATTGATTTTTGGGATTAAGGAGGAATATACAGAAATCAAATTTGATGCAAAGAGAGTAAAGCAGATAAACATATACCGTGGTATGATAACCGGAAGTGACGCTGTCAGTGCAAGCTGTGTTAGTGTATGTTGAATATGTTGTTTCTGTGACCCAAGTACAACAGAATGTTGGGATTTGTTTACTTCCGGCAGCACCGGATGTTATCCAGGCTGATGTGTCAAAATCATTTGTAGTTCCAGTTACAGCGTTCACTGCACAGCAAGACATCTGAAACCAACAAAGTACTAAATATGTTACAACATTGTTATGTTAATGAAGGTTATAGGTTTACTCTAACTTACTTGGTGTCTCCCAGTAAACAGGTTTTACTGACATAAACACTAACAGAGGATTAAATAAGTACATGTACAAATATATAAATAAATCAAATACAAAGGTGAAAATAAGTCTTTCTTTGGCCTTGAAAACAAAAAGTTTAAACATTCACAACTTAACTTTCAAAGTAACCTCTAGTTTCCTGCTATCATTAAAAATTCACATCCCTACATTTAATTCACCACCACCACAATCTTGTTTTCAAAAAAATCTGAACTTGATATAAAAGAAGAACAAGACTCGGAGGATAATTGCGGCTTATGTGTTTCTTGATATAATTTCAATTATTTATTGTTTATAACCTTACCAGCATAAACATATAATTCCAGGCGGTGGAGGTCTCGCTTGTTGTCAGGTCATTCGATCCATAGTTGTTCAAGAGGGACACCAGTTCCGTCTTCATCCAAGATTGTAACTGTAGGGATAATATCAATATTACCATTTAGCAGATCTTGAGTTTCGTTAAATAGAAGTTCTATTCTTCATCATTGTATTGTTAACAAAATTGAGTTTACAATTGCTTTATATATATATTTACCTTGGCATTACTGTCGAACCACATGAAAACTGCGAACACTTTTATAAGAAAAAGAATCAGCACTATCCCGCCATACTGAAAATTCAGAGAAAAAAATCCTTTATGTATGTGCAACCATTTTTTTTCACAATTCAAGGTTTATTTAGAATATGAACAATTCATTTTTTTTTTTAATTTGTGAACAACAGATATAATGATTTCTGTCCTCTTAAAGCAGGCTTCATATTTCTTAAGCATATTCCAGCTTAATCCGATAAGTGTGAGTGACTATATGAATGTGTGTGTGCAAAAAATCCATTGAATACTGTTTTGTAGACATTTATATGCATTATATGTATGTATACAATGGACAATGTAAATAAAAAAATATATATGTGAACAATTCTCTCTGTCTATTTTCTACAAGATACGTTATAGATTTATTTATCCATGAAGCTTTGCTTACTATATCAAGATATCCTGGTTTTCCTGTGCAAGCGCCACAGAGACCGAGGATACTGACTAAAATGACAAACGTTCCGACGACTATGAGTGAAACACAGAGTGCGATGATCATTTCACCGAGATTGATTCCTCCAAATGTCAGCTGCTTCATCAGTGGCAGGACTTTATCACTCACTACGTCATTATTGACCAATACAATGACCCCTGGTACAATCAAAGCGAGGCCAAATATCTACACAAAATAAAATTATAACGCTTCATAGCAATTAAATTTGAATCATAATTATTAACACCTTTATTGAAAATATATTTTTTATTGTGATGAATGAAATATGAAGATAACGAACAGTAAACAAGCTCAAAAACAACAACAGAAATTGTGAGCAGAGCAAACACGTCAAAGGTCGGATCAGAATACACATGTGGTTTATTTTCCCCCGATAATCTGTTTCTTCTAAAATTCTCCAAAAATCAAATTCTAAAGGAGGAAATAATCGAAATCAATTTTTTTTCCCAACATTTCATAATTTCATTATGCTTATTTGATGTTTCATTGAACATGAACTTGTGAAATATCCTTGACATCAATACATGTAGATCTTTATAAAAGAACATGATGAATATATTTAAATGGCTATTTGATCAATATCAATGGCTTCGCAATTTAATATATACCAGCCATGTTTTACCCAATGAAAGCTGCACTGTATGGCACCTAGCAAAGGTATTAAAAAAACCTTACCAGAAAAATAACGTTGATAACTTTGAGAAAAAGGGGACCCCATTTTTCTGTGAAACACATCTTTCTTTTTTATACTCCCGTCCTAAAGTATTTCCATAAAATAATCAATAATAAAAGTGAAGAAGAATCCTAACGATCAAAATCACTTTTCAGATCCAGCTAAATAATTATATACAGGTATTTAAATATCTAATCTCCTTAAATATGTAGACTAAGAAGGTCAGCATTTCGCAAGGCTTTAAAGTTCTCTGTTTTCTTTAGAGCATTGTTCATGTAGAAAATCGTGATCATTGATCAGTACTGTTCATTAATTACCAAATTATGAAAAAAGACTTTATTTTTTAATTGCTAGCAACTAATTCCCATTTTTCTTATTCAAACTAAAAATGTTTTTGGCAGTCTTGATTTTTCATAATTTCACTAAGAAAAATTTGTTAGGGAAATCATGGCAAATCAAGACTGCTAAAAAAACTTTTTTAGGATCTAATTAATCATTAATCAAAAATTAACAGCAAATTTTGTGTACCTACTCTGCGATACCATAGTTTTGGAACCAAGTTTTTGTAGAAAAAGAGTCGTTAAAGAAACGTAGATAAACGTCATAATACCCAATCAATAAGACCGCAGAATATTAACTGGCAAAATTGGAAATATGCAGCTTACGTCATTTCCATCTGTTGCAGTTAAAATGTTTGATGATAGACAATGAAATGGGCGGGTTCAATTCGACACGGACTTCCGAGAAAACATTGGATTGAAATCATAGTTTGAAATTCATTTTCAATCCACCTGAGCTGTTTTCAAACCTATAGTGTAAATGTATATGATCCAAAAGACAAATAATTTCAATTCCCAAATACATGTTGATTGAAATGAGTTTTTTAGCCTATAATTTTAAGGTCACGTAAAAGTCATAGAAGACAGAGATTATTTTTTCAGGGGACAGCCATTTGATTCTAGAAGGGTCGGGGGGGGGGGGCTGTCAAAAATTGTCGAATCAGATCATGCATTCGCGTCATACAATATATTTACATGTGTTTCTAGGATGACAAGAGTTTTTTTTAAGTTTTGTCTTCACTGAAATACTAATATGTTTGACAAACAAATACAGGGATGGGTTGTCCAAACTAAAAGAACTTTCTTATTTATTTCCAAAATCGTTCAGCCCCCCTCCCAACCCACAAATACACATACCAAACAGAAATCAAATATTTGTCCCTTTATATTTCTTTAAAAACATTGGACAGAAAATTCTGATTTATATAAATTTCAAACTATTTTGAAATTGAAATTATTTGTCTTCTGGGTCAATCAGTAAAACCTTGCATTCTAGCGTAGCTGAGGTGGACTGAAAATGAATTTCAAACTATGATTTCAATCCAATGTTTTCTCGGACGTCCGTTCGAATTGTATCCGCCCATTTCATCGTCTATCATTAAATGTTTTGACTAACAGATGGAAATGACGTAAGCTGCATATTTCCAATTTTGCCAGTTAATGTTTCGCGGTCTTATACCATCGTCTTCCGAATAACCCCATGATAAAAATAAAATTCCGAACCTTATTGCTCATTTAAAAGAAACACCCAATAATATTCCAAAAGGTAATATGATACTCTTTGTTTAAAACGAGAGAGGATATTGAGAAAGAAGATCGTATGACAGAAGGGAAGACGGACCGGGATAGAAACAATACACCCAAACGTTCTTTAGACTGACACAATTGTGTTGTTTAAAGAAAGTAATATCATTGTATAACCCTTTTAAATATCCAGATGCCAATCGTTTGCTTCTTAAACACTGGTAAGTTTCTACTCATAAAACACCTTTGAACACATTTTTAAGATTTTTTTATTGTAAAGCTAAACAGATGTATAACACTTTCTTGTTATAATTGTCAACAATTCCAACAATGGATAAAAAAGTATAAAATTCCCGAATAATTACATGTATTTACAGATATACATATACATTATGGCAATTAAGCACCTAAGTTATCCCACTGAAATGTTATATATGGCATAATATCAGCAGAATTTCTCTTCAATTCTTTTGAGAGAGATGACATTTGTAGAATCGCCATCTTTGGTTTGTGTCACGTGGCCCTTTTATGCCTTTTCTTTCTTCATTTCTTTGATCTTTTTCCTTCTCTTTTTCTGTTCTAGTTTCGTCTTGTAATGCATGTAGTTTGTAGCCGTAACTACAGCAAGTGCCTAAAAACAAGAAATCCAAAACTGACAAAGACGTCATAAGAGGGGATGGGGGTGGTTGTGTGGTTTTTTGGGGGAATGGGGGTTATGGCAGGTACATGTTACTTAAGTTTCGAAATATCTATGTATAGAAATATTCAAACTGCAGTTTTTTTTAATCAAGGTATTAGTAGATCCACAAAAAAATTCAAGATATTAGTAGATCCACAGTGAGAACTGTCAATTGCTTAATATTGCAACCAATAAACTAATGCACGAGTGAGACTAACTCGAAACAAGAGTGAACGAATAATCTTTACTCTTAAACTTGCGTATTGGAAGTGAATGAAAATTTTGCGAACTAAGAGAAAACGTAAGTTCATTCATCACGTAACTGTATAAATGTATGAGTCTCAAAGTAAATACATAAAAATAGGCTCAGTACTTAACGTGTTAAGATAAATTTACAAGAAGCTGTCAGTGCATAGTAAACTGTGTAGTCCGTCACGTCATGTGTGCGCAATTCGTTACATTTGCCGGATGCCTCATATGGCATCAATTGTGATCGGCCAAAGACGATCACAAAAAACTCACTTCTATCACTAGGATAGTTATTCCAATTACTATAAATGCTATTGAGTAGCTGTTGAGTACGTTGTAGACTGCATCGTAGCATCCCTAAAAAAGAAACAGGCATTATTAATAACATCACTAATTATATTTCAAATGAGAGGCCTTTAAAAAGCTAGTGGTAGAAATATTTTACACAGAGGGCAAGAAGAGAAAAGATGTAAATTGCAGCTCTTTGTTATTTAATGATGTGATTATATTCATATCAAGCAAGAAAAACAAGCATATTTAGAAAATAGTGGCCCCATGCGTTCAGTATCTCACTGAATGAGATGCAATGATCATTTCGCTGTAACAACTATCTTTTTTGCCCATCATACTAAAAGAGTTATATATTTTTGAAGTAATATAATTATCGTGCAAATGTTTTGGCAGAGGATTAAGTTTTTGAAAGTCGGACTTCGATTCATGATGACAAAAATCATACTGCAGTCGGAAAGGTCTTGTCACAGGTAATTCACATGTGAAATATGAAATCCTTATCTTATTCCTCTCAAATATTATGGCGAATGCTAAAATTTTTATCAAATTTTGAGATCAATGCCTTGAGGTTAAAAATCAGTATATATTCAGAAAGGTATTGTCACATGTAATGCCCATATGAAATAAGGAAGTCCTATCTTCTCGCATTTAAAAGTTATTACCAATGTTAATGATTTTGTGACAACTAGACTGAAGGACAGACTGAAAGATAGACGGAAAGATTTAATGTTTCCTCGCTTAGCGAAAGTGAAGCCAAGAAGACCATAACTCTCTCTCCCTTACCGTTGTGTAGTAGTTAGCTGTAACGTCGACAGTACATGTTGTGTCGTTGTATGTAGAGAAGGATTCTGGCGTGACCCCCTGACAGCAGAAAGTGGGGATTTCTTTACTTCCTGCTGTTCCACCTGTTATCCAGGGTGTTTGGTCAAAATCGTTTATAGTTCCATTCAATGCATTTACAGCACAGCACGACATCTGAAACATAGGTAATCAAAGATTACGAAGCTCACCTCGACGAATGTTATCTATAAGTAAAGCAAATTTCACATGTTTTTTTTTCTAGTTAGGGTACATCCCAAGATCAGTATCCATGCAAGTTTGGTTTAAGTAGGACTTGTAGTTACTTGGAAATAGACCTACTCAATAAACTTTTAACCTGTTTAGTAATCAAGAAAATTGTGGTCAGTTCTAACATCCAAAGCAAGTCTGGAAGTTTTCATCCTTAGATGCACCATCTATGCAAGTTTAATCATAACATGCCACAATATCATCTGCAAAATGTAGGTCAGATTCAGAATCCAAAGCAAGTCTGGAAATGTCCATCCCTAGATACATCATCCATGCTAATTTGGTTTAAAAATGTCTAAAATTCACTCATGTAGAAAATCTAGGTCAGATCCAGCATCCGAAGCAGGTTGGTTAATGTACATCCCTAGATGCATCATCCATGCAAGTTTGGTCCAGATAGGGCTTATAATTACTTGGGAACGGGACTGCTTCAAAATCTAAACCTGGTCTCACATGTGGAAAATCTAGCTCAGTTCCAGCATCCGAAGCAAGCGTAGTGTCCACCCCTGGATGCATCATCCATCAAAGTTTGGTCCAGGTAGGGCTTATAGTTACTTGGGAATGGACCTGCTCCAAAAACTTTAACCTGGTCATTCATCTGGAAAATCTAGGTCAAATCCAGCATCCGAAGTAAGTGTGGTAGTGTCCATCCCTAGATGCATCACACATGCAAGTTTGGTCAAGGTAGGCCTTATAGTTACTTGGGAATGGACCTGCTCCAAAAACTTGAACCTGGTCATTCATCTGGAAAATCTAGGTCAGATCCAGCATCCGAAGCAAGTGTGGTAGTGTCCATCCCTAGAGGCATTATCCATGCAAGTTTGGTCCAGGCAGGGCTTATAGTTACTTGGGAATGGACCTGCTCCAAAAACTTGAACCTGGTCATTCATCTGGAAAATCTAGGTCAGATCCAGCATCTGAAGCAAGTGTGGTAGTGTCCATCCCTAGATGCATCATACATGCAAGTTTGGTCCAGGTAGGGCTTATAGTTACTTGGAAATGGGACTTGCTCCTAAAACTTTAACCGGGACGCCGACGCTAACGCCGACGCCGGTGGTATAGCATAAGCTCATCTCGACTTCGTCGAGGTGAGCTAAAAAGGCATATCACAAGACTTGAAATGTGCAAAAGCCTTTGCAGAGATTAATATTATTATACACAATTATACACTACATGACCCTTTGAGACACATAACAGCAAAAAATAATTACATGTCATTACATGGAAATTTGAAACAAAACCTCTAGTGTAAAATAATAGAATTTTTTTTTACAATTTTGGTATCTTTTCGGAATTAATGCTCCATGCTTTAAAAATTGCAAAAAATACCCATCTGTAGATGGAAGCTGTACAAGTAGATTGACTTGAGACTCACCGACATAAACAGGTAGTTGAAAGCTGTAGAGATCTGGTTGGAGGACAGATCGTCGGCGGCGTAGTTCGACTGTAGTACTGTCAGAAGCTGGGTCTTGATAAACGACTGAAGCTACAATCATACAGGAAGGTGAGATATTATCCAATATAAATCTAAGTCTGTATCATGATGAAATTTACTTTTAATGTTAAACATCTGGAAGAAATGCAATTCAAAATAGGTAATGACATCTTGATATTGAAAATAAAGATAATGATAATATTTTCTTTAACATAAAAATGAGCACAAATATTAACAGCTTCTAGGTTTAAATGAAAACAAGACACATAAAATCAAAGTTATATTGCAATAAACAACCACGAAAGTGACATGCCTTGTGAACTCATACTATAAGAATATATATTTATACATGTAGAGCTTCTCTGATCGTTTTGATACTAAACAGACTTAATTTATATAAACAATACAGACGAGAAATTTGAAGAAAAAGCAACACAGCATCAATAAGAGCAATCAAGTGCTATACTTAATTATGCTGGTTACAGTAGTATTTTATTGTTATAATAAACAGTTAACTATGATAACTGTATGTACTTACTTTAGCATTCATATCAAACCACAGAAATACTGCAAACAGCTTCCCAACAAACAAAATCAGAACAATGCCAGCATACTGGAAGAAACCGGAAATCTTTGGTAAAACCGCCATAAACAATAAATACAGTGTAAAAAAATAACATAAATAATGCTGACAATAATTTCAGCAAATGAGCAAAATATATGAACCCAAATGAAAAAAAAAACTTTATAATTTGTACTATAATCATGCTAAAAAAAAATTTTTATTGTTATTTCATAGTTCATTGGAAAGATTCGTAAAAAATTTGTTCAGTAAATGTAAAAATAAAAATCATGCATTGTCATAATTTTACAATTTGAACATGATTTCATGATCAAGTACTGTTTGAACTCTCCGTTTTTTAAGAAAATGACCAGTCACTGATCAGGAAGTTGATTTATACTGGTAAATTTGAATTGAGGGTTCCTTATGGGGTTAAATCTGTATGTTTTGGAGCCCTTTTGTGTGTTGTTTTCACGCAATTAAGAACATCGATTAACTTCTATCAATATTTGTTGACATTTATAAATGGAAGACCAAAGAAATTTTGTGGATACTAAGTTCGTGTCATAAGAGTTTCATTTTTGACTGTTACAAATCGTGAACAGGGCAAAAACAAGGACCCCTGGAAACACTAGATGTAGGATCAGGTGCCTAAGAGGAGTAAGAATCCCCTGTCGACCGGTCACACCCGCCGTGAGCCCTAAGTATTGTTCAGGTATACGGAGTACTCCGTAGTCAATTTTAATGTAAAATCAATGACTTAATAAATGAAACTTGTCAGACAAAATACGACCCAACAATAGGTTGTAATTACAAACAAGGTCATTATATGATCGCAGAAATTGCGAAAAGCTGACTTCAAACGGGGCTATAGAAATCCTTGCACATGTTCACTTCAACTTCTCTGTGAGTAGCTTGCCCCAGGTCAAAATTGATTGTCCTCAGAGCATGTTTTTACATATCGAATCAGTTGGGAGACATAAACACAAAAACATTATGCAGGTGATATTGGAATATTACTACATAAATAAGGGAAGTTTGACGTTGGAAAAACTGAAACCATCCCTTTTGACATACAGTCTATTTTTTAGTTGGCCATTATATTATCATCTATAAAGTCAGTAAAACATTCAAATATGAAACAAATGCGGCAGACTCTAGAAAGATATTACGGTAAATCATAATGATACACAAACAACATATAACGTATACATACAATGTCCAGACAGGCTGGTCTGTTACAAAAAGCTCCTATGGCGCCCAGGCTGGCTATAATGAGGACGATTGCGCCCACCACTATAAGAGTCACGGACAGACTAGTGGCCACGTCCCCCAGATTAAACCCCCCGTACGTCAGCTGTTTCATCAGAGGGAGGATATTATCGTTGATCAGGTCAACATTTGCCAGAATCATGACCCCGGGTATGATAAGAGCCAGGGAGAAGATCTAACAAAAAAGCATGACATTTATAAGAATGCAATATATAAAAAACATGATAAGAAGAAAATAAAGATTAAAAGATAGAGTGTATTGCTTAATGGAGATATTGTTTTGATATTTCAGCATTCAATATCACTCCAGTCAATGTTAAACTGTAAAACATTACATGTGTTATGTGTCAGAACAAACGAAGCAATCACAAATATATCATCAATTCAATCATTCAGACATGTAACACATTTGACATTCTTGTTAATCTACACTTTCTATTTGAAATTGTTGTTCATATACACTAGATATTTATAAGACTCATTGGATGCATACAAACCTGTATACAAAAATATTTTCAAGTTACACATTTTTGTGCATCAACTTTCAAAGAAATTTTTTTTTGGTTCTGTCTCTCAGAAGAGTATATACATAATCATATGGAATTATATGTATGTTGTATAAGGTTTGTTTGTAAAATATTTTAATAATATTAATAATTGATGTGATATAGTTTCCTAAAAATTATAACTTGTACTCAGATCAGAATATGTACAGATGGTATCGTCAATTATAACAATCAACCAAAAGCACTCATCAAAACGTTTTAAATGAAAAAAAGAAAAATACAGCAAAATGTTTGATGGCATGCATGATGTATGCAATTATGTATACTTACAATAGCAAGACAATTTGTCACCTTTTGGAAGAATTTGTCAATGATCATCAAACTATTGTTTATTTACCCTTCTGGTCAAAAGTATACTTATGAAGCAAAAAGAAAGACAGATTAATATAAAATTTATATATAATCACATTAAAAACTGGCTAAATCTTGACATGATTTTGCTTCCTTTACCGATTCTGTTGTGTGAACTTTGTTCCCATGCTCTGGAAATACTTAATATCAATACATGTATACTAATCAGTCATGACTTCTTAACTCGTGCTTTATAACTCTTGTTTTGTATAATTATTCTACCTCTCTTCTTTTTAAACTTACTATAAAGATAACGTTGATGACCTTTAGAAATATTGGGCCCCATCTTTCATCGGAACACACCATGATGGCAGGTGTCTTGTTAACACCTCGCTTAGTATTTCTTCACTTTTTGTTTCTACTGGGTATTCAAGACTACCAGGATTTGTCCCTCAAAACTGGAATACACAAAACAACATTGCTGAGATAAGACAGAAATATTAATTCCGCCACTCAGGTGGTTTTAAAGTTGTCTGAACGTCTTTACCTCTGCTATAGAGAATAGATCAATGTTTGCAATATGTAAGAATTTGTGTCTTGCAACTGATCATAATACATACACTGTACAGATTTTATGCTGAAATCGTATTTTACTTTACTTTATTTTACTTTGTTACCATTTGCAATTAAAAATATTCCTCATTGATTAATGAATTGTGTATTCATTCTCTCTTTTAAACAATATTTTAATTGATGAAAGAGTAAAATTTAACTTTACCCGCTAAATGAGTTGTAATTGCTTACCATTGTCTATATTTTGGTAGTTCGCCAGATATTTACTTCAACCAATAAAGTACATTAATTTATAAAGTAGCTTAATTTACTTTGTGGTGTTCATTAGATAACTCTGATTTACTTCCCCTTTCTTTCGTTTACACTCGAAAATAAGCTATTTCATCGGTACATTGTATTTACATATACGTTTTGGGGGGAAAACATCTGTGGGTTATCTTTGTCTCTGTATACTGCCACGCTGTTTCAATTGATCTGTATTGTTTTCTACCCCTAGTGACGTGTAAAACTTCTGTGATATACGGTCAGTTGTAATGTAATCGTCTTAAGGACAATTATGTTAGAGGTTTTCAAGCTCCAGTGACTCCCCTCAATGCAATCGTGTTTCTTTTAAATATTTCATTCACGTTTTACGGCCCCTAATAAACACCAATCGAGTACTAGCAACGGGACAGTCGTCTTAAACATGCAATATTAGTACTTTCAATTCTAAGCGGTCTTCTAAGCCTTTTTTATGTATCTGTTTGCTGATCATATTTAGTTTTACGGGTCATTAGATAAATTAGATAGCCTTGCATGCTATATATTTGTTTACATTGACATTGTTTATGTTAAAAAATTGTTGGAATGGCTCATTTCTGTAGGTAATGTACCATTACCTATTATCTTCCTTGTATTCAAAAGCATAAAGAGAAAAAATAAATCAATATTCAGAAAGATTACATTAATGACTAAAATTTCGGCTCTTTGAGAAAAAAAGATGTTCATTGTTACAACTCGATCTATCCTACAAAGGGCAAAGCGACCTTTAGAAGACCATTTCCTTACCTCTTATATGATCAGAAAGCAAAATATATACTTGACTCTAATGAGTACGTAAAACTAAGAACAAGAGATACCCCTTATAGATATATATATTTCATACACGATGACGTAGAAAAAGAAGACACTGTCGATATCAAGACGTTGGTAAATTAAAACTAGAGACGGAAATAGCTTTTTGGAGTTTTTCCTACCTTGTATGGCGTCTACAGAATCCACAGAGATTCTTAGTGGAGGGATGTTTTACGTGGACAGTTTATAAATAGGTCATAGACGAGCCAGCCATTGCTGTGTCTACAATATCAATGTTTTATTTAAATACCCCAGCTTGAACGGATCCATTATGAAAGCGAGACCACTCTTAGAGCAGTTACCCTGTATAAGATTCGGTCATTTTTTCAAAAGTTTTAATTTCATTAAAACTTTTTCGACTAAAATTTTTACAAAGAAAAAAATATGAATAATGGTCTTCACAGTTATAAGGAAATAGTATTTTCGAATTCTTGATGTAACGCACACTTTGAGAAGTGGAGTTAATCAGATGTGGACACTTAAAAAGTCCAAGAACTTTTAGAAAATTTTAAATTACAGATAAGTTGATGATACAAGGATATCTATAATCTCGTTTGAAGTCAACATTTCACAAATTCTATGGCTGATACAATGACCTTGTTTGCAAATATACTCTGCCTTTGGGTTGAATGTTGACTGACGTCTTTCATTTTTAGGCCATTATTTCCATATACCCATCGTCGGTAACCCACGGATGATTCACATCGATTCTCCCTATCACCACTTGAGGTAGCTTGTGGACTCAAATCCGTGGTTTGCGACGATGCATATACCTGATCATGACAAAGAGCACATTGCGGGCGTGACCGGTCGGCAGGGAATGTTTACTCCTCCCTGGCACCTGATCCCAACTCTATTTTTTGTTGGCTTTACTCATAATTTGTATTGCTTAAAAAGACTTTTGAGAATGTTCACTGTTTTAAAGTGTGTTAAATTTTTCTGAATAAGAATTTGTGTATTTTTTCTATATAATGTTTGTAATCATGTCAATATCAATGATTGTAAATACTTAATTATTATAGAACGTTTATCGACACAACGGTTCTCTTTATATTAATAAAGAAAAATTTTGATTCATTTCTACATTTAAAGATAAACAGCCTCTTTCACAATTCAAAAATTGTTTCCAGAATCCTTGCTTATCTTAGGAGATATTCTTCTCTGGTTTCTAACTAAGTAAAATAGTATTTTGCTTAAATGTCCTTTATAATGAGGTGTTAGAAATTTATAAGATCATGAAAAATATGTTTTGGTTCCAGCTGATAAAGCTTCAGTTATAACAACATCATCTTTATTTGTAAGGCTCATTATTACGATTGCATTTTAGAAGAACTCGGTTTTAATTCAGCATCTGGAAACCCAATCCATATTCACAGTTCCCTTTCAAAAGATGAAATTCTTCGAAATCAACTTTCAGTTTTAAATGCATATACTTTTAACATTCCAATGGAAGTGAGTTTTATTTACCGAGCCTATGCTAAATTCCAATACTTATAAAGTTCATACAAAGATATATTAAAGGGTCCAGTATATGTCCAACCAAGTCTCCTTCCTTGCTAATCACCAAAATATTTACTGCTGTGAAGAAGAAACGTCAGACACATTGGGCAACAACATAATGAAGAAGTACGGTATATCAAATGTTGACTCTAAAACCTCCAAAGAACTTTTGAAAAAATTAATATCTCAACTTTTCAAACATCAGTAGAATCAAAATATATGATTTCTCTACGCTTTAGACAACATTCCTCATGATAAATTGCTCGACATAGACAACTGTTTCTTGAATAAAAAGTTAACTTGTATATTTTCATATCTTGTGATTGTTCATCTACAAAATTACTTTAAAAGTTATTTTGATTTTACATAAAAGTACTGTGAAGTTGATAAAAAAAAGATGCTGAAGTTCCTCATTGACAACATCTATGTAGTATTTGGAGACCAGATCTTCTGACAATATGTTGAAATTCCAATAGGCAGTAATTATGCTCATTTATTAGCCGACCTGTTTTTATATTCCCATGAATATATAAATGATATTGCCGGGTCCAGCAAATGCTCTACCAAGCCCCTATTTTACTCATTACAAAAATATTAACTGCTGTAAAAGAGACACTTCAGACTCATCGTGCTACAACATATTCTAGAAGTGGTGTAAATCATATATGGATTCTCAAAAACTCCAAAGAACTTTTAGAAAATTTCAAATCACCCATTTTTTTCTGAAGTCAAAAACATCAAAACATATGAGTTTTCTACACTTTATACAACGATTCCTCACGATAAATTAAAAACTAGGCTTTTTGATATCATAGACAACTGCTTCTTCAATAAAAATGGAACTGGCAAATTTTCGTATATTGTGATTGGTCATCAACGATTTACTTTGTTAAAAATCATTCTGTACTCTGAAGTTTATAATAAAAAGGAGGAATGTTGGAGTTCCTCATTGACAACATCTATATTGTCTTTGGAGACCAGGTCTTCCAACAAGCTGTTGGAATCGCGATGGGTAATAATTGTGCTCCTTTATAAGCCGACCTGTTTTTATATTCTTACGAAGCAGAATTTATTCAACAACTTTTACATGAAAGAATACATGAGAAGAAGAAAACACTTGATGTAGCCTTCAACTCTATATTCAGATACAGTGACGACATTTTATCAGTAACAATAGTTACTTCCATTCAAATGTCAGCTCGACATATCTCAGTGAACTTGAAATAAAAGACATCACAGAGTCTGCCACATCTGTTTCATATTTTGGTGTTTTACTGACTATAGATGATGAGGGCCAAATAACAACTAAATTGTATGACAAACGAGATGACTTCAACTTTTCCACTGTCAACTTTCCTTATTTATGTAGTAATATTCCGCAGTCACCTGTTTATGGTGTTTACATTTCCCAACTTATTCGTACTCAAAAGCGTGCTCTGAGCACGATCAAATTTTAAACAGAGGCAGCTGCTGACAGAAAAGTTGATGTTACAGGGATTTTAACAGCCGCGTTTAAAGTCAACATTTCGTAAATTCTATGGTCGTTATCGACATTGTTGAAATATAACCTATCATTGGGTCGTAATTTGGCTGACGTGTTAGGCCTTTGTTTTATACTAAATTTGACTATGCAATGTCCCTTCTACCTGATGAACACATATGGCTCATGGCGGGTTTGACCCGACAACGGGGGATGCTTACTCCACCTAGGGGTACCTATTCCCACTTTTTGAAAATCAGGTAGGAAAAGGTAAGATTTTATGTGGGAATAGGTGGATTTTTTTTTGTAAACAAATAATTAGTTGTATAAACATATAATTACCGTATAAACAGTAATTATTGAACATCTGTTGGAATAGAGGACGGGAAATTGGCTTTAATTTTTAAAATTTATATACATGTAAATCAGACTTTTACTAATATTTGAAAGAAAGATTTTTAAGTGAATTAAAACATGTTTTTCCCAATAATCCATTTATTGTAAATTCTAAAATTCAGCTATTTAAATGCATTTTTTCATGAATCTATTTATTTTATGTTTAAAAAAAAAAATCAAGATATTAAAGTATTTTTAATCACTTTTTTATTTTCTACAATATATTAAGTTGAAATAAATCATTTTTTCATAAATCTATTTATTTTTTGTCTTAAAATGTACAAAATACAGGTAAATCATTAGTCTAATTACTATAAAAACAAATTAACTAGTATCTAAACATCTATTGTTATTTGCAAGTGGGAATAGGTGGAATTGAGATTTTTAAAAAGTGGGAATAGGTAGAAGACACCCACCTAGGCACCTGATCCCATCTCCGGAATTTGAAGGGGGGTCCGTGTTTTATGCCCTGTTTACAAATTTGTATTGTTTGTACATTTTATGATATCGATCACTGTTCGTTATCTTCACCTTTTTCAAGAGGCAGAATTTATTCAAAAACTTCTACATGACAAGAAGAAAACATTTTTTGTGGTCGACAACTCGACATTTAGATATATCGACGACGTTTTATTACTTTACAATAGTTATTTTCATTCACATGTCGACTCGATATATCCCAGTGAACTCAAAATTAAAGACACTACAGAGTCTGCCACATCTGTTTCATATTTGGATGTTTAACTGACATATTTCATATCATTTGTTAGGTGATGAAATAAAGAAAGAAAATGTGAAAAATTAATTTTGAATAATGTTTCCATCATCTGGAATACTATATGTAGCTTTTTGTCGTTGAAATATAGTAGAAATACATGTACAATGTTGTCAGTTTTCTTTTCCTTAAAAAACACATTGTAAAACCAAATCCCTAAATTTAATAATTACTTATGTACCATATAGAATATACAAATATAAAATATTATGTAGATTAGATTCTTTAAGTGGAACTAACATATACATGTATACGTGTCATCATGTTTAGAAATCCATTTACTTTTATTCATCAATATTACGTTAACTAAATAAAAAAGGTTATCGAAAATCTTTCTAAAAATAAAGTGATATAAAATTAGTTGGTAATAGTAATTAACCTCGGAAAGTTCCACCCCTACTAAAGAGAGACACTGGAATATAGTAATTGTCATTCCGTTTATCGACATATCGCAATGGTAGCTATGATTTAAATATAAGTCGAGTATTTCACTTTAGGAAATGTAATAAAATGTAATAAACATAAATCAGTGTTTGTAGCTGGATATGGAATTTATTTAACTCGTGAGACAGAATTTTTTAAATATATTTTCATTCGTGCTTTGCACTCGTGAAAATATAAAAAAAAAAAATCCTGTCCCACTCGTGAAATAAATTCCACATCCAACTACAAAACATTGAATATCCTCTATATATCCTAACATATATAGAGAGAAAAAGGCAATCTAGGGCTAAGCTTCGTCTAAAAATTATTTGTCCTCAGGACATCTCGCAGAAAATATACAAATTAGATAAGGAAAAATGTAAGATGAATAAAATGTCACTGACTTGAGTAATATATTGAATACATATACCCCAATCAAATGAATGTTCAGATATAATGTGATTTATTTATTGAATAAAATTGATATTCTATCACAGTGTGAAAGGATACCAAAGTGATATTCTGTCACAGTGTGAAAGGATATCAAAGTAAGTAAAAAATAATTTCTGGCCTGTAATAAGATAGAGAAAGTAACTAAAACATCTTGAAAGAGACTAAAACTGCTAATTTCTTC